CGTTATTGCCTTCAAGCTTTTCCGCAAGTACTCTCCGACTCCTTGAGCAATCCTTTATCTTTGATAGCCCCAAAAATCTGGCTGATGGGGTACGCCAAGAGAGCGTGAATGGCATCCTTGCGTTGTTCGTCCCCTAAGCATTCCTGTGCGGCCCAAGGGACATAGCCGCTGGTCGTCTTCTTCTTCTTGGGCGCTGGAACCTCCACCGGTCCGGGACCCAGTCGGTCCGACATTTTCCGTGTCGCGGGGGTTTCCACCCCATCTCGCTAGGCGATTTCCTCCTCGATCGCCACGAACTTTTGCGCCCTGGCAAGTACCTCTGCATAACTATCATCGGGGTTCCTCTTCAGGCCCAAATAGAGATCCCCGGTTGCCGGTGCGTTGGTGAAGAGGGTGATGTAGGTGCCCTCCGGAAGGTCTTCAACCTTAAGGGTTTCGTCCCTCCACCTGATGAGGAAGGTGGACAGGGATTCCCCCTTGACTTGGCAGACGTTCGTCAGCCAGCTAAAGTGCTTCTTTGGTGTGGTGCTGGAGGCGAACTGTGCCATGAACTGCCGGGAGAGCTGTTCGAAACTTTCAATGGATCTGGGCCTTAGTTGCCTGAACCATTCCTGTGCTGGCCCTCTGAGTGTGCTGAAAAACAACCTCCAGATGGCCTCATCTGAAGCTTCCATCATGGAAAGAGTTCCCTGGAAGGTGAGTAAATGAGCCTTGGGGTCCCCGGCCCCGTTTTAAGTCAAACCCCCGGGGGCGGACGTCCCTCGGTATCTCCATTGCCATTATCCTGGCAGAGAAAGGAGAAGACAGAATGACCCTAGGCTGAGCCGGTCTAGCCTCCGTCCGTTTATTCAATTCGTCAATCTACCTCTGCATCTCCATAAGCATGGCATCCCGTGGATCGGGAGTAGTGGGTGCTGGGTTCACTAATGCCAAGGTATTTCCCCCTGTCATGGTCCCGTAGTTATGCTGTCCATGGACGACGCGGGCTTCCTACCTCATGCCGTCCATCAGGGGAGTGTGTTCCTTCACAGCCTCATCATTACGAGGCATTACCGGTGTGTGTTCCCGGTTCGTGTGTCGCTGAGTTCCTCCGCTGAACCTAGTTCCCCCATTGCCCCCCATGTCCAGGGAATGGACGCTCCTGACGATCCTGGTATGGACTGATTTGCGGGAATCATTGTTCTCACCAGTCCGCTCGCTGAGCGTCTGCATCGAACAGAGAGGAGAAAGCGGTGTTCATCCCGAGTTGGCAGAATGCACGCGTTCTACCTCCTGTTCATCCGCCAAGCGGCGGATAGTGTCTGCTATTTCCCTCAGGGTGTTCGGATCCCGTCGAACCTCTTGGGGAATCAAGTCGGTGAGCACCCCAAAATCCCCACGGGACCAGAGACTGCAGGACTGGGCTCTCGCCGCCTGGTTACGGCTTCTCCTGCTATGGGCCAGTCGTGAAGAGAGGTCTTGAGAGGTTCCTGTGTTGTTAGCGGCCATTTTACTTGTTCTTTGGTTATCTTTGGAGTGATTTTTAGTGTTGAGCTTAGTTTGAAAGGACTTTTTGAACTAGTTTCCCACAGACGGCGCCAGTGTTGAGGTTTATTCCCTCAACCCGCAGGACCAACACATAACGTGGGGGTCTCGAATGAGTGATGAGCAAGTAAATGGAGAAATAAGCAGGAAATGGCTCGGTAAACAATCTTTACTCACTGAAGGTTATTACAGGCCAAAGGGCCGAACGTACAATACTGTGCTACGGACTGATTTTATTGCTAGGGTGCTAGAGTATTAAATTGTGAACCCTTAACAGTGAAATAAATGCTACTATTTATACCGACAATGGGTGGTTGGACATGCTGACATGGTAGGCTGTGAGCGACATGATCCCTACCATCAAATCTTCTGCATTAAATGCGCTTCCCGCTAGAATCCTCGTTACCTGCCATTAGGTCGGGACGTTCGTCCCCAAAGGCCTTGCTCCTATCTCCCGCTGGAATGGCAACCCTGTCAATGGGACGTTCGTCCCCATGCGCCTGAGCTATCCTTGGTCTATTCTTGAGCAGCCCCCGGTAGCCTATCGCGGGGCCCGGATGCCCGCCAATGGTAGAACCTTGTACGTCTCTTGACCCTTGAGTATTAGGCCTGGATGGCGATGGTATACGTACGTCTTCTGGCCCTTCTTAAGTAAATGGGGCCTTGGTACTGGTTGGTGGTGGAATACGTACGTCCCCTGGCCCTTGGCTTTGGGCCTCCGCCTTGGGCCGTTGGTAAGACGTTTGTAGGTGCCCTTTAAGGGTTGGTGGGCCGTCCCTTACCAGGTCATTAACCCAACAGTCACTATCAATTTAATGTCATTGACATTTTTTCTTATGATATTCTCAATACATTATGTAACTATCACTAGTTGCCGCCACTAGTGCAATGTTGCCACCGCCGCCGCATTACTGTGAAACATGTCACTGTGATCGTTGAAAAATTTGCGAGTTCAAGTCACTCTTGATTTTGGGATGTTTTTTAATTTGATTTGTTATGTGTTAATATTTGTTGCTCTTTTAAACTTAAATTCTCTTGGTCATGTTCTCTCTAGAGTTTGGTGTACTTTGAATAATAGGGTGGGTGATGAGAGATATGTTTCGATCATCTTTGACTCAAATTATATTGTTTTCTCGATAGTCATATTGTTTTCTCGATAGTCATTATTGTGTATACTTAGGCCTGGGAGGCTAGTACAAAATAAGGCCTCTAATAGGAGGGTCAGGCCAATAGAGGGCCCGATCGATGGAGGTCCAAGCTTCTGCTCCTTGTCTTCTGGGTTGTATTATGTGATGATAGTATTTGGCCGATGGAGGGCCATCTGAGCGTCGCGGTCCTTGTGCTTGTCTTCTGAGTATAGGGTCTCAACCCATATACTCTATCACATCCAATATCTAGCTTTTATTATACTCTGTCTCTCAATACTTTGTTAAGTTTGACCGGCACAGAAAATAATAAAGTAAAAAATGTGTGGTTAAGATATGTGCAGAGGAGAGAGAAATAACAGGAACCACAAGTTCATTAATTAAAAGGGAAAATAACAAAGTTTTTGAGACATCCAAAAAGGAAAGATGACAAAGTTATAAGGTTATAATGCACTCAAAATATTCATTTAAAGAATTTCAACTTGATCTTTTTACAAGTTGATAAAATATCAGCTTCAAGTGAAATCATGACTCTTTCTATTCCAATTATACTATATATATTCTAAACATGCTATAATTAGATAAAACAAGCTAACTATTTGATTCAAGTATCCCAAAACATACTTTGCTAATAGGTCAAAGTAAGGAAAATTTGAAAATAGTAATCTCAACTATTGTCTGTCCACCGTTAATAATCCAATCATCGATTATTTCTGATTGGTCCCAACTATATGGACCATTTTCCAAAATTAGTCCCTAACTGGTCACAACCTGGTATAGCAGGTCAATTTTAAATTCAAACTATGTGTAAGCTCTAAATAATCCCAATTATAGTTGATCTTTTTTTATTAATCCCAATTATCAACTCTCGGTTTTCTATAATCCCAACTATAGATTTAGAAATATTTTTTTTAAAATCCAAATTAAATATTTTTTAGCATGAAAAAAAATTACGAAATTTTACAAATGTAACGAAATTAAATAATTTTTTAGTCATTTCTAAAAAAATTCAGTAAAATTTCATTTTTTCCCTTTTTCCAATTTGGTTTTCACAGTTATGTTACCAATATATGATTCTGTATTTTCCTTTATTAAAAGTTACATTTTCTATTTTCAAAAAGTAAACAACGATAAAGAAGAGCTTTTTTGCTATCTTAATTCTACAAAGGAAAATAGAAAATGTATAAACAACTACGAAAATTATACAAATGTACCTAAATTAAATAAAATATTTATAGTCATTTTTTGATTTATTTTCGCTATTTTTTTTTTCTTTTTTCCAATTTGTCTTTCCCAGTTACGTTACCGATTTATGATTTTGTATTATTTTCCTTTATTCAAATTTACATTTTCTGTTTTCAAAAAGTAAACAATGATTAAGATGATTTTTTTTGCAATCTTAATTTCTAAAAATCTGAATTTTCTATTTTTTCCATTTTAGTATTTCTTGTTTCTTTCTATTTTCTTTATTTTATATTATTATATTCTATAAATTATATTATATAGTTTATCGTTTGATTTTAGTTATTTGGGGTATAGGCCTCGGAGGTTTTGACTATTTTTAATGTAAATGTATTAATATTATAATTTAAAGTGATATAATGGAAATTATAAAAATGTAGAAAATGTGTATCACAATGTTAATAATAATCTCAACTATTCTGATAGAAAAAGTGTGGACTTTCGGTAAACATTTTCTATCGTCATTTCAGCTATTCACATTTTTACATTGGTAGAAATAAAAACTACTAAAAAGGAAAAAATAGAAAGTTTAGATTTTTAGATTAAGCTAGAATAAAGATCTAAACGGTAAAAATTGTAATCACAAATTACTTTTTGAAAATAGAAAATGTAATTTTCATTAAGTAAAACAAAACCAAAATCATAAATTAGTAACACAACTGTGAAAAACAAATTGGAAAAAGAAAAAAAATGAAATTTTATTGAAAAAAATAGAAATGACTAAAATATTATTTAATTTCGGTACATTTGTAGAATTTTCGTAATTACTTTTTCATGCTTAAAAATATTTAATACGGAAGTTTATAAAAAAATATTACTAAATCTATAGATGGGATTATAGAAAACTGAGAGTTCATAACTGAGATTAATAAAAAAAAAGATCAACAATAATTAGGATTATTTATAGTTTACGCATAGTTTGCATTTAAAATTGACTTGTTATACCAGGTTGTAACGGGTTAGGAATTATTTTTGAAAAATAGTCCCTATAGTTAAGACCACTCAGGAATAATCCATAGTTGAGATCGTTAACGACGAGAGCGATAGTTGGAATTATTATTTTCAATTTTTCCTCAAAGTAATAGCATTTCACAAAATTCAACGTACAGGAATGTCATCTGCCACCTTCATAGTTCATAGTTTAATACAATATACGCACTCTCATCAGGGGGCATCATCTCTTCTTAGCTCTTCACAACACAATGTTACAAACAGAACACATCTCATGATCTCAACACAAAAATTTCCATGGAAATACTTACAAAGACTCGATACATACAGTTGACACTAGCTCATTGACATTACAGTACTGCGACATTCGCTACCTAAGATCATTCGCTATAGTGAACATATTGTACATTTGACATCATTGCAGGATCTAAAAAGAAGCAGGCAGGATAAGTAAATACTCGTAGATTATTTGAATTCCAAACCAAACATACTTTTATCCGCTTTAAGACTGCCCGATGAGGTCACTCTGATGATACTGATGCTCTAATAGAATGATCAGAAAAAGTGTTACTGCTTCCAATCTGAATGCCATCGCCACTATGGAAACACACCGATCTAGAAAAACCTCCTTCGCAAGTTCCTGGTTGTTGCTTGATAAGATCTCATAAGAAGTCCAACCCCAATACCAACGCCGACACACATCCCAAGGCCTATCCCCACACCAACCCTCACCCCAGCATTAAACCAAGATAGTTGCCCATCTTCACCTGGGTACATTCCATCACCATATGAGCCATCCACCCTTTTCCCATCTAAACCATAATAATCCTCATCTGCCTCTGTGATCTGCTAAAGAAACAAAAGAAACAAAATTAAGGCTAAAATTAGAAAAAATAAAAATACAGATAGATAATATATTGCCACATCACGTGAATACATAAATCACATGTCTTGTTACCAGTAACCACAATGGCATCCTGGAGGATCTTCTTATAAAATATATTTTGATACTTGACTACATATGAACTCTATGAGTTGGTAGTAAAAACTAAACTGAAGAAATAGAAGACCAACAAATCCCAGGATTATCACCAAGCCTATGTTTTTGGAAAAGGAATTATTTGACTTCCCTACCCCATCCTTACTAGAGACCATGAAAGGTTCTGGCAACATTAGCAAGGGAGTTATCAGAAGGTCATAGTTTTGGGGATTATGGAAGAGACACTAGCTAGTTCAACAATCCATATACCCGAGGGGCAACCCACAGCCATAAGTGAATATACCCCAATGAAACTTATTCCATATCAAATCAGTGCAGGTAACCAAAGGCATATGCATCACATTCAAATCATCGAAACTATTCCATTCAAAGGTTTTCCTCTGGTTTCTCTCCATTAATAAATCTAGTAAGGCATCCTAGGAAGTAGGAACTATTCCCCCCTTCAACATGGTGGTTTCCTTGGAAGCATTATTCAAAGTTATGGGATGGGGAAAAGGCACAATAGTTTCTCCCACCAGTCCAAAACAATAATTGCAAACACGTCGATGGAACTTGGTCAGGTGGTGACTGATAGTGGCTACAGATGGGAGGACAAACTACTGAAGGGAGTTTTCGATTAATAACTCAGAAAGTTATGGGTAAGCCGGTGAGGTTGAGAATAGTGGAGTTTCTTCTTGTAATGCTCACATGAATCTTTTTACATGAAACTCAAAAGTTCACTTGTGCAAAAGACAAATAGAGGAAGCCATTGGTACAAGGTATTTTTCTCCAATAAACGAGCTGACAATATACGGATTATGAAAGGGATTAGAGCAGACTCTAAGTCTCTAACTAGGTAATGATAAGCACGAGTTTTACACAAATGCATTGATTGGATGTTTACACTTGGACTTGTTTCACCCAGATCAGACTAAAACAAATCAAAACAGACCAGACTTAGACAATAGTAAAATATACATATACCATACCTTTGTAATGATTTTACCCAACCAAACCAGAGTTGAACAAACCACAACACACTAGATCAAATTTAAGCAATCCAAACCACACTAGATCAAACTTAAACAAACCAATCCACACTAAAGCAGGCCGGACTACAAAATTATTGTCCATGTGAAAACATCCTAAAACACACACCCCGTACATAATGAGTTAGTGAGTTTCTTTTTGGCATAAATTTTTAGTGTTAACCAACTTTAGCAAATTAAGGCAGGCAATGGGGTTTAAGGCAATGGTGAGGATGAAGTAATTAACCTAGCCTTCGATTCAGAATGCATAAGGCTTTCCTAATTGGCTAATTCTCTTAAGATTTTCAAGGAAGAACCCTTTGTATTCTTATTTTGTTAGGTTGAGCCTGTGTCTTGGATTTCCACAGTAATAAAAACAAAATATAAACTCATGCTGAAGAAAGTAAGAATGCCCCTGGCCCCTTTCTTTTGTGATTCTTTCTGTGCAACTATTTCATTCTCCATTCAAAGAGAGATTCTGTGTCCATTATATGTGAGAGAAATCTTATATTTCAATTTTCATCTTCAAATTTATGTGCATATATGCATCTTATAAGGCTTGGATGTTGTTGTTGAATATGCATGTGCCTAACATATATAGCCATGCCTAATAGCAGACCACATGTTGGCTAGATGTATCGTTACCTTTATCACTTCTACAGTCCTTTAATTGCAGTAAATTTCCAAATGTGTCTAAACTCACTGGAAGTTAAAGGGCTAAGGGTAATGTACTGAAAATAGAGAGGATCATGTCACTAATAACTCTGAGATGCTTAGGTACGCATAATTACTTCACCGAAGCAGTAGATTATATCCCCTATGGTACAACCACAACAGGGATCGTTAATTCCATACCAATAATAATTACCACCCAGGCATTAGTGAATAACTCTGCCAGTGATTTTGCATACCAAATCAAACCCATGATCTCAGCTAGGAGGTTCTTCACCAAAACTTATAAGTCATACCACAAAAAATTTGCTATTATAAAACTATGACAATTCACAGTTTCTACTGGAATAGAATGAATAGAGGAGCTAAGAAAGAGCTATCTTGAGTAAGAGTCCATTGATACCATTGTTTGACGTTGTAGGACCAATCCATTACAGTTTATCTGACCCCTCCCTATTTCCTCTTCTTCAGGAATTGCATCCAACACACCCTGCCTACAGACCTTCTTCCTTGGGCTAACCTGGATGGTTTTTGTCAGTATCACCGGCAAACCAGAACAGCGTCCAGCTATGTACACCTCAATCGAGGGGGAGCAAAAGCCAAACTTGGGCTGAAAAAAGGACGAGCCTCCTGACACAAGCGAAGCGGCCGTGTAACAATCCATGCTCCAGCCAGTCTTAGAGGAACTATCCAACACGTTCCCATTTGTCCAAGGCGTCTCCACTCTCGCCAACGATCCACACAGAAACAAAACATCTTTCGTCTCCTGCACCTCAAACTCCACCGGGCCGGAAACTCTGACTTTGTCGGTACTCAAATAAGTCACCTCAGATGAATCCTTGTCGGCGCGTTCAAGGCGGAGTGTGATGGAAGCAGCATCAGAGGCTGGGAGTCGGCATCCATTTATTTCCAACCAGACGCCCATCTCACGGCGGAGAGGGCGGAGGCTTAGGTAGTCCGGTACAGCGTCAACAGCGCACGGCGCAATACGTATGTAGAACAAACGAATTTCTAAGCAACCTCCCGTAAAATTCGAATCTTTGTAAATCCTCATCGACAACTCTTCGTCTTGTTTCTCCATCTAGCCCCCGATTTATTTATTAATTCCAGAAAGTATATACCAAAACAAAGAGGGGGGAAACGTGACGAAACAAAGGAAACAACAATGAAGATGCAGCGAATTAGGGCTTTCGCGAGAGAGGAGGAGAGACGGTACAGTAAAAAGAGGAGGAGATGAACAGAGGAATTTGAAGAAATATTAGGGCCAAGTGGAGTGTGAATTACACGCGTCACTGTACGTAGCCGCGGTTTTGGGTCCATTGAATTTGGTGGCATTGAAGAAATGAAGCACGGACTTTACACGCGTCGGGTGTTTTAATATAAATTACTCTAAATAAGAAAAAAAAAGTTTTGAAATTTCAAAATATTATGTTTTTATAACTTACATAAGAATTTGGAAAAAATGTAATGTTTAAAACTTTAGTAATGCTAAACTTAGCAGAAATTTACTTCTATTTAGGGAATAAAAAAATCCTATTTTAGAATTTCAAAACTCTTTTACTCTTATTTTAAAAAATTAATCTTTTTTTAAATATCCGGTATATTACTCCGTTTAATACACAGACCAGAACTTTGAGATTTTTCTTTTAAACGGAAGGAAATAAAATTTTCAAAAAATAAACAATACTACCTATATTTTTATTTAAATAAAGTAATTTATTTTAATTCTTAATTTATATGGTAATGTTTTCACATTATTCAAACATTAATATTAATATGACATTGTCATAATTGATACATAATATGGAGTAATATTTCAAATGTGATAATAATTACACTTACTCAAAAAATAAAAACGTTATCACAATTACTTGAGAATATTTTATATTTAGAGTATTAATCAATATATATATATATATATATAAGAGGAACTTTTTAAGAGCATACAAAGCGTCACATAATCCTGTCATATCATTATATATAACAATTATTTACTTATTTTTATACCTTTTGTTTTTATTAGATTCTATTTTTGATTGCATATTGATATGGAAACAAAAATCCTTATAAATCCACCTTAATTAATTTGGTAAGCTTCAAATAAGTAAAATAATTTTTTGTTATCAAAATGAAATTCTAATAACGTTTATTGATATGGAAACTAATTTATATTAGTTTACTACACCGAATTAAATAGAAACAAATATGCAAATTAGTTTACTTATTAATTTGACACCTATTAATAAATTAGTAAGCTTCAAATAAGTAAATAATTAAAAATTATAACCAACATAAAGTATATATATTTTCACAAGTAAATATGTTTAGCTTAGCCAAATAAATAAAAAAAATTGGTTGTTTCTTTATTTTACACCTAAAATTCAAATATGCCTTCACTTTTGAAATAGATTCCTAATCCAAATTAGAAAATCTTTATAGGTTTACGAATTCCTACTTTTATTTTAATAGAATATTTTTAATTGGATTGATTTCAGTTCCAGATTAAATCAGATCAGATTAAACTTTAATAATTATAACAATAAGTCACATAAAAAACAGACATTTAATAGACCATATTAATTCATACCAAATCAAACCCGAAATTTTAATTCAATTAAAAACGTTCTTATTAGGGGTGGGCATAAAACCCGAACCGAACCAGTACCGAACCATCCCGTAATGGTACCGAACCGAATACCGGGTATTTAAACGGTTCTATGGTTTTTTATCCCGTACCGAAACCGTATCGTTTGAAACGGGTACGGGACCAGCCCTAGTTTTTTAGAACCGAAAAATACCGGACCGAACCGTTCGTAAATAATGCATTTGAATTTTTTATATTTTTTCTATATCAATAGATCTAGACCAACAATTTTATACCCCAAGTATATATTCATGTGTCCCTAAGATATCTAAAATGTGTTGTTTATATATAGATATATATATATATATATATATATATATATATATATATTGCTAGTTTTTTTATAGATGATTTATGTTATATTTTGGTATGTATTGAAAGAATATTAAAATTTTAGAAATCATTAATGATTATTTATTTCTAGTTATGTAGTGTACATGACTTTTTTGTCGTATCATTGTTTGTGCATTTTTTACAACTTAATTAATATTGTTTAAATCTTAGCTCTCAAGATTCAACTATAAATTAAATTAGAACTACGAAGTAATATTTAACCTAGAACGAAGAAGAAGAACGTTGAAGATTTTTATTATATTCAACAATTTGATGATATTCGTTTTTATATTTTCACATGAACTTAGTAAATTAAAAATGATATTTATCTCGCGCGTCATCGTTTTGCTATACTTTTTCTTAGTTGTGTTACACTATTTGTGTATTTGCGAATTTTAGTACTAGGTATGCAATTTCTTGTATTTATTTCAACATTTCATGTGAGTTTGTTGGTGTGATGATATCTACTAATTGCAAGATTTGTTCAAAAATTTTAGCACATGTTTGGCATTGTACCGTACCGTTTTGTACCGTTCCGAAACGACATGGTACCGAACGGTTCTATCCTTGGAACCGGACCGTACCGGACCGTTAAAAACCTCACGGATACATTACGGGTTTTACTAATTTACCGGACCGTTCCGGACCGCGCCCACCCCTAGTTCTTATTAATGAGTAAACAAACTGTAAGATCTAACAATTAAAAAATATAGAATTTTTTTATTATTGGGTTCATAACAATTATGTTTACTTGAGATGCTTATGTAGAAGACCAATTTAACTTTTTTTCATATATTTTTTTCTTTGTTTCACAAATGGAATATATTTCACATATATTTTTCATGATTCAGAAGATTCCACCTATTTAACCAGAATTCAATCAATTTCAGCAAAACAAGTTAATTCTATTTACTTTACTATTATCAAACAGACTATATATTAGACTAATTTTATTTTTCTTTTAAATCACATTAAATGTGATCTGATAGAAATTAACTTTCAAATTAGCTAAATTACATACTGTCCATGCATCGCACGGGCTTGAAAGCTAGTTAATTAATAAAATGACACATTTGTAGAGGTGTTGAGGAAAAAAGTACGGCATCCTCTTAGTTGGACAAAAGATGATTAATTATCCAAAGTAACCTAAATTCTTTTACTCCTCTCGTATATGCAATTGATTCTTATTATACTCAATTAATTCACATTTACATACTATGGTGTTAAAGTTTTCCCATGTATGGTTTTAAAGTTTGGATTATAACTTTGACCATTAGATATTTTTTGTAGAAAATTATTTATAATATAAATATAATATGAAAATTTTATCTCAATCTCTCCCTAGAGATTGAGATAGAGAAGAAGAAATTACATTTGGCATTAGGAAGCATGAAGAAGATTTCAGGGATCACTGATATTTGGAAATCAAAAGTGCAAAAGGTTTCTTATATGTGTGTCACTGGGCATTTTGTTGATGAAAAAATTGCCCAAGATGAGACTAAAATATGGATTAAACTCCAAAATAGGACTTTAAGTTTCTAATTCCCTAAATAGGACTCCAGATTACAATTTTACTCTTCTTTAATTAAATCTGAATTCTTCGCTTCAGCCATTCATCCCTTTGCCCCTTCATCGCTGCTCTGCTCCTTCATCAACACTTTCTCCTGATCCGACTTCAATTCATCGCAACAGCTCCGCACATCCCTTCCCTCCCATGGAGTGCAGTTGCGCCATCGGTTATGGCCTCGTATCGCAGTTCTGCCGCCGACCATAAGTAATCTCTTCCTCTTCATCTTCCTCTTCCTCTTCCTCTTCCTCTTCTTCTTCTTCTTCTTCTTTTAATTCTTCTAATCCTCTTCAAATTTCTGGTCCTACGTTCTCTTCTTCTTTGGATTTTTTTTATTTGAATTTTATTTATTAATTTGGATTTATTTGGATTTGAATTTTATTTATTCAGGAAAATACTTTTATAAGCTGAAAATGTCAAAAAAAAATCGTTATTTGAAAAAATGCCACGTTTGAGGCAGTATATTTACCAGGAAGGCAATCTGAGATGTCATTTTTGTTTCAAAAATGTCATGAAAATGACAATTTTCCTTTTTGGAAATGTCATTTTCTTCTTTGTAACTGTCATCTTAGCAAAAGTGACAGATTACAAATCATTTTCTTCTTTTGTAATGTCATAAAAGAAAATGACACAATAATGACAATTTCGTGCAGAAACATGTCATTCTCAATATGGCATTTTCAAATATTGTAATGACATAAAAGTGACATTCTTAAAAATACCCAATAATTATGACATTCTCTTATTCAAAAAGTGTCATTTTCTGGAAATCTAAAGAAGAAGAAAACAGAGGACCCAGATTGGAAGAGGATGGGAAGGAGAAGACAAAAAAAGAAAAGAAGAAGAACAAGAAGAACAAGAAGAAGAAGAAGAAGAAGAAGAAGAAGAAGAAGAAGAAGAAGAAGAAGAAGAAGAAGAAGAAGAAGAAGAAGAAGAAGAAGAAGAAGAAGAAGAAGAAGAAGAAGAAGAAGAAGAAGAAGAAGAAGAGTAAAGGAGGTGACCTCTCATGGTGGAGCAACGGCAGAGGCAAAGGGAGGAGCAAAAGAAAAAAATGAAGAAACTTACCTGGGTAGAGACATCCATCGATCGCTAGCGACATTGATCGCACCCAGTGAATCGATGCAGCAGCAATTAAGAAGGGTCTTTTTGTCCAAATAGAAATAATTAGTCTTACTAAGGGAATTTAAAACATTATGTCCTATTTTTGCAATTCTATCTTCTTTTAATCCTATTTAGGGAATTCTCTCTTTGTTGATTCAAACTGGGATCTTCAAAAGCATCTTCTTAATTTTATTCCTCTTCCACCTCCACATACAAGTAATTTTCTTACATTGTTTCGCATTATCATTTTACTTCCTTACTGTTTTATTAACACAATATTATTTATCTTGTTAGGCGTCGATATCATTGATGGGCTGATGAAGTGCACCAAAGAGTGGGGGATAGAGCATGAAATTTTTACAATTTCGGTGGATAACGCCTCAAACAATGATGTGGCAGTTAGAATTGCCAAAGAAACTTTTTCCTGGAATCGTAAGTTGCCGCTTGGTGGTAAGTTATTTCATGTAAGATGCACCGCTCATATATTGAACCTTATTGTGCAAGATGGTCTTTCTCAAATTAAAGACATCATTAAAGATGTTAGAGACAGTGTGCGCTTTATTAACCAGTCAGAGGCTAGGCGAATAATTTTTTTTTGAAATTGTGCATCCTTTGGGAATTCCT